TCTGAATTATACTTAGTAGGGGAAAAGAGCTTTGCTAGGGGTTTAATCGACTCACAAGGGAACACAAAAAGGGGAAGAGAGGGAATGACGTCACACATAGGAGAGAGATAGTGCAGGGTTTTGTTAATATAACAACAACAAAAAATAAAACAAGAAAACCATAAATGGATTTTTGGAAACTTTCAAAACCAGTTTTTCCGTTCTTTTTTTCCTCTGTTGGGGACCTAACACTACTGCGACCAGTAAATTGATCTATTGTAATATATCCCGTGTCCTTAGTTTAGTGCATGTCGTATTACTCCATCACTATTGAGAAATGATGAAGTATTCGATTTTTTTACAGTTGCCACTCTTGCATTTATCGCAAGGATCCGACTCTAATTGAAAGGTCCCGCTATTTATACCCTTCGGAGTGTTGAAACACCCTCCAAAGGCGCGCCCCTTTGTCAGTCAAAATTGAATTCCTTAGCAACAAAATTAAGGTATGACACCGATAATGACCATGCATCAGAACCCTAGTCTTAACAATGATTAGAAGATTAGGAATCACATAGATGAAGACAACTAACTCACTTTTTCCTTGTTTCAAGATCATCCTCGGTAGACAAAGCCGAGTCTTGTCACTATCAACAAGGCATAAAAAGTAACAAGGACTAAGATCTGTTCCTTGGATTACTGAAAAATCCTGTTCCCTTAGTTTGAAGTAGTCAGGACTAGGAATCGTTGGTAGATCTTACATCCCGTAACGTACCACGAAAAGGTGGCAGTTTTTCCGTTAAATCGAATTTCAATTTACTGGACTTGATTTTAATAAACCTGTCTCACTTGCACCGTATTACCAATGGACTCAATTAATTAAAAACAATTGGAAAATAAAATTAGAATACAAAATAGGGTGGACTATTGGACTTGGGACGTTGATGGTTTTTGGTCGTTGGGTTACTCTAGTGGGTGGAATCTGCTGGGTTGAGAAAAACTGCTAGCTGGGCACACATATCTGCAATTCTCGACAGACGACTGCTTAGCCTGGCGCATAAGCTGGAATTATTGAGAACCCTAGCAGGATCCTCCTTACACAACTCGAGAGTTCCCATAATTTCAGTTTGGGACTTAATAGTCCTATTGAGAATCAGGTTGCTGGGGATTATCTGAATATTTTCTCTCGGGAAAATATTTTTGATGATTCCTGGGGGACTGATTTGGAAAAAGTAAGATCTATAACATAATATGAAAGCTCCAACTGATGATGGAATTTTCTATATCCTCATAAAAAAACTCCCAAAGAGTACCTTGTCTTTTTTGGTAAAACTATTTAACAGATGTTTCCATTTAGCATACTTTCCAGATAAATGGAAAAAAACGTAAAAGTTGTCCCAATTTTGAATCCAGCTGAGGCTTCTTGCTACTGTTCAATAAGTTTGCTTTCATCAATAAGTAAACTTTTTGAAAACATTATTTTGTATAGAATGATGCTGCACATCAATACGAACTCGATTTTTGCAGATTTGGATTTCGCCATGATCATTCAACTACTAATCAACTCTTAAGAGTTACCAATTTTATTAGTTCAGGCAAATCTGAAGGCTGCTCATCTGGAGTTGCTTTTCTTGACATAGAAAAAGTATTCGATAGTGTTTGGCATGAAGGTTGGATTAGAATTGAACTAGCCTTTGGCTAAAAATCTCTATAATAAAGATTTAAAAAAATTAAGGTTTGATTGATAAATTGAAAAAGTTTAATTTTCCACTTTACATTATGAAATTAGTTCAACATTATTTAACTGACAGAACTCTGCAGGTAAATTATCAAAATTCCAATTCTAATCGACTACCTGTTAGAGCAGGAGTAGCATTCTTGGGCTTATATTGTATAACATTCTCACTTCAGACCATCCTGAATTGCCTCAGGGTTCCCACAAATCTTTGTCCGACGATGACACAGCCCAAGTATCAATTTGGGTCTTATGAAGGTTCTGTAGACCATGATTTGGACTTAGAGAATGCTTTAAAACCTTTATAAAACGTGCAATGTTTCCGGTCCATTAATTATGTCACGCAAATTTGGCCCATTTTCAACCCCCCTCCCCCTTTGTCACATTTTTTGTATGAACCTTAATTTTTTTTTGTATGGCTCGTCACAGTTTTCAAAACCCCCCCCTCCCCACTAAATGTGTGACATATTTAATGGACGATCCCTAAAGGAAGAAATCTTCGTGTTCTTTTCAGTAGACTACAGAAAAGTTTAGGTATTTTCTCTTCTCATTCACAAAAATGGAGGATTTCTCCCAACGCTTTCAGAACTCAACACATAATATTCCTACATAAGCCAAGAGTTTCCTTTTTGACATCTAGTCGTAGTCACATAGTTACTATGAACGGAGTTCCAATTTCCTGGTCAAACCAAGTGAAATATCTGAGGTTGGTACTTGACCAAAAAATAACTTTTAAAGATCACATCGAGGGTATTCAAGTCAAATGTAACAAATAAACAAAATGTTTGTTTCCTTATATAAACAGGATATCCAAACTTTGCCTTAAGAATAAACTTCTAATATTTAGACAAGTACACAGAAGAATATTCTGAATTTTAAATATCGCATAAAATTTCCATTCGTTTAATTTTGAGCTATACCTGGCATAAACAGCGAAATTGTTTGCAAGCTTGCATACAATATTACTAATTTATGCAATATTGTGCTTAAATTTTGCGCCCCCCTTAGACTTTTAGGTGTTTTTTTGACTCGCTGGAATTTTGTTAAGCTTGTCAAGTTCAACGTTACTATTTAACAGCGATAAATAAAATTAGACCACAAACAACGATTTCTTTAATGTCCTTCCAGTTAACTACTTTTATTATGTTCTGGACTAGAAGAAAGAGAGTTTTGAGATATTATATTATATCGATATTTAATCGCTGGCATACAAATTAGCCATGAGCCCAGGGTATTTTCTTCAATTTCTGGGACCGTCGTAACATTTCAAGGACATCTAAGAAGTTCATTGAAGAAACTCAGTGGAAATTCTAGAAACTTCATAGACTTTCAGAAAAAATCGTAGAAACAATAAACTTGGAAAAGTTATGAAAACTGTGTAGAAGTGAAAAACTTATTTAAGTTTGAGCTTCGTAGAAGTTAAGGGAACATTATTTTATTTCAGGGAAGCTCTCTATTGATCGGAAACCTCTATATAATTTCACGGTACTTTTTTCAAGCTTCGTCGACTTGGATTAGTTGTGGAAATTACGTACAAATTATATAAACTTCGTTCGAGAAACTTCGTGGAAAATAAACAAGAAACGTAAAAGTACAGCAAACATCATTTAAGAAGTTGGGAAAAAATCGTAATCTTAAGGGAGTTTTATAGATGTTCAGGAAACGTTGCATAAGTAACTATTATATAAGTTATAGAACTATGACAGTTGATCTAATTTCGTTGACTTCTATTTAAATTTGTATTTGACGAATTTTTGCTAACGATCTGTATGAGAGATATCTATTTTTTAAGTTACAAACATGGGTTTGAGATCTCAAAACTATTTTAATTGTAACATTTTTACATATCCTGGTCCGACATCTCTCAGGATTGCACCTGCATCACAATCTTACGCCAATTCACTCGGTCCGTGGCTACTTGTCTCCAACTTCTTGACCGTCCCACACTTCCAAGATCCTGCTCCACTTGGTCTAACCACCTTGCTTGCTGTGCCCCTCTTTGTCTTGTACCGGCTGGATTCGAGGCAAACACCATTTTTGCGGGATTTTGGTCCGGCATTCTTACAACGTGTTCCGCCCATCTTCATCGGAGGTGAAGTTTACCCGACCTCAGGGTCTTGTGGAGTCCGTAGTAAGCACGACTTCCGGCAATAATACGCCGACGATTTTTTCTGCTGCAGTCGTTATCCGACGTCACCAATGATCCGAGGTACACAAAATCATCCACCACCTCTACCTCATCTCCGTCGATTGTCACGTTTCTGCCTATGCGAGCCCTATCCCGCTCGGTTCCTCCAGCTAACAGATAGTTTGTCTTCGACGACCTTTAATCCAACCTTCTCTGCTTCACGTTTCAGCCTGGTGTACTGCTCCGCCACGGCCTGAAACGTTCTTCCGACAATGTGCACGTCGTCATCGAAGCAGATGAACTGTCTGGACTTATTGAAGATCGTGCCCCGCATGTTAAAGCCCGCACGTTTCATAACACCTTCTAGCGCAATGTTGAACAGGAGGCATGAAAGACCATCTCTTTGTCGAAGTCCTTTGCGAGTTTCAAACGAGTGTACACCATCCATCGTAGCCCTGATCAGTCTGGTCAGCTTCCCAAGAAAACCGTTCTCGTCTATAATCTTCCATAGCTCTTCACGGTCAATAGTAGCATAAGCGATCTTGAAATCGATGGTGCGTAATGTTATAAGCAAAAGATCAACTTCTAACATTCGCTGCGATGTTCATGAACAGAGGATGATAGGAAATGGCAGTCACATTCATTGTAATAAATTTTTGGTTTGCGTGTACTAATAGTCAAGTATTAGTAAGAGACACTGAAGAAGTCTGCACATTGTAGACGAAATACGGCAGGGATAGGCAAATATGGTAGTGGAATTAAATGGAAATTATTAATCCTCTCTTATATAGGAGGACGCGCGGATTCAAATATTGTTTTACTTCCCTTCCCCGAATACGAACTTGAGTAATTTAGTCAGAATTTAATTAGGTAAGGACGGTCAGATCTCATCAAAGGTGGATGAATTCAAGTTTTTTTTTATATTAAATACATGAGCTAACACCCAGTCTTAAGCCAGACGTGTAGAATCTGTGGATAATATCTCGCTATTTAGGGCATCTGGTTTCATTTCTGTATGAAAGCATCCATGTCTTCCAAATGCTTTATTAACACCGTACTCCTTTTGTTCTTTCATCCAGGGTGCATATTTTCTACAACAAACCATTTAACTATCTGTAAACTTACTCCTTAAAACATACATAAACTCGCACCAAAACAATCTTTTTGTTGCTTTATTAATAATTTTTTATTTAACTAAGTTTGGGTTATAACAGCTGCTGCGTTTTCCTGCATTCTTAGCTCATCAATTTGGCGATGGCTTCAAGGCTTTTCCCCTTCGTCTCCGGGACCATGAATGCCACGAACAGTGCTCCGCCGAGAGAACAAACCGAGAACAGCAGCATCGTGCCGTGCATGCCGAGCACGTCGAACAGCGTCGAAAAGTACTGCAAAAGGGAAAATCGTGTTACAATATTTTCCACAGAGACGGGAGAAAATGTTGCACTTTTCAAACTTTGCTGGATGGAGAATAAGGGATAAAGTATGCAGCTGGTCTTGAAAAATTTGTTTCCAATTGTTGGTAAGCAAGGAAAACTTTACAATAAAAGAACCTGAAATAATTAGAACCCCTGAGCGTGAAAAATTAGGCAATAGTTTCCCTGAACATGTGAACAATTTGGGCAACCTAATACAATTTCACTTAACGCGAAGCTTACCGCCACGGAAATATATTTTTTGCACGTTTTGACTTTCCTGAACATATTAGAAAAAAATATCACCAATCCAAGAATAATTTTTTGACAAAATGGCGGTAACTAGGTAAATGACTTTTTTTTTCAAATGCCCGCCATTTTGTCAAATTTTGAGATTTTTCAAAGATTCTAGTTCATTCCATTCTCTGAACTATACTCTTCAAGAAACTGAGCCGATTTTCTTTCTAGGTGACGATTTGCGACCTCTAGGCTGCTCGCAGTTTTGGGAAGTACCCGCCGGGCAGCCGCCATATTGGACGCCATTTTGGATTTTTGGACTTGAAAAAAATCCCAGTTGTAAAGCAAGAATGAATAAAGATTTGACAAAAAACTCTTGTCTCTAACTCTTACCTATCTGTCTGTCTGTCTGTCTGTCTGTCTGTCTGTCTGTCTGTCTGTCTGTCTGTCTGTCTGTCTGTCTGTCTGTCTGTCTGTCTGTCTGTCTGTCTGTCTGTCTGTCTGTCTGTCTGTCTGTCTGTCTGTCTGTCTGTCTGTCTGTCTGTCTGTCTGTCTGTCTGTCTGTCTGTCTGTCTGTCTGTCTGTCTGTCTGTCTGTCTGTCTGTCTGTCTGTCTGTCTGTCTGTCTGTCTGTCTGTCTGTCTGTCTGTCTGTCTGTCTGTCTGTCTGTCTGTCTGTCTGTCTGTCTGTCTGTCTGTCTGTCTGTCTGTCTGTCTGTCTGTCTGTCTGTCTGTCTGTCTGTCTGTCTGTCTGTCTGTCTGTCTGTCTGTCTGTCTGTCTGTCTGTCTGTCTGTCTGTCTGTCTGTCTGTCTGTCTGTCTGTCTGTCTGTCTGTCTGTCTGTCTGTCTGTCTGTCTGTCTGTCTGTCTGTCTGTCTGTCTGTCTGTCTGTCTGTCTGTCTGTCTGTCTGTCTGTCTGTCTGTCTGTCTGTCTGTCTGTCTGTCTGTCTGTCTGTCTGTCTGTCTGTCTGTCTGTCTGTCTGTCTGTCTGTCTGACCCTCATAGACTCGGAAACTACTGAACCGATTGGCGTGAAACTTTGTATACATGGGTTTTTGGGCCGTGGAAGGTTCTTATGATGGTTCGAGACCCCTCCCCCTTCTGTAAGGGGGGGGGGCTCTCATACAAATGAAACAGAAATTTCTGCATAACTCGAGAACTAATCAAGCAAATGGAACCAAATTAGGCATGTGGGGGCGAGTGTGGGGGTATAAGGAGATAATCATAGGGGGTAGCCCCTTAGATAATAGGGGGGGGGGGGGCTACATACAATATAGCATGCCTTTTTTTTAAATCGGCGCATAAACTCAAGCTAATATTGAATCCCGAGCAAGACCGGGCACACTCAGCTAGTTACTTATAAAACCAAATAAATTAATGCCCAATTAAGGAAAAAGTACACCATATTCAATCTTTTATATTTGTCTAACCTCTGAATGGAATCCCTTTATGAAAAGCTTGGAGTGTGTTGGTTTATTTCCTTTAAATTCCGTTTTAATTGCTTATGTTTTAACAGATCCGCGTATTTCTTTTTACTTGCAGACTTCATCAGTGCCAAGTGCCAACACCACTTGTTGGCACTTGGCACTGATGAAGTCTGCAAGTACTAGACGAAATACGCGTATCTGTTAAAAGATAAGCAATTATAACGGGATTTAAAGGAAATAAACCACCACACTCAAAGCTCTTCACCATGTTCACTTAACCGTTGATTATATCACTTACCTTAATTGCAAGGAAAGCAAAAATCCACAAAATTCCCATGCAGAAACTGATTGCGAATCCTTTGATCTACACATCCATGTGATGCAACGCCATGTACCATGAAAAGAACAATACTCAATTAGTGCCATGTGAAACGGTCACACGTAACAGTTGAGGTTTTCGAAATGCCTCGTTAAATAAATGGATTAAATGAATGCTGCATCGTTCCGTACCTTTTGCGGCATCACTTCGGCCAGGACGAGAAATGGCAACGTCAGGACGCCCACCGATCCGATGAAGATTACAAATGAAAAGCACACCAGTGGCAGCCAGGTAAATGATTCTACGTCGAGACCGACATATTTGGCATACGAAAATCCCGCAAAGATAGCCAACCCTAGACCGATGCCTGTGGCGGAGACCATCAACAAAAGCTGAAAGAAATTGGAATCATGAAATCGTCTGTAGGATCCATCCCGATAGTCATTTGCCGTTGCATCTAATTCGGTGTTAAATATCTAAAATAGTGGCCACACTGATTCATGTCGATAATTAAGTCTCATATTTCCAACGTAAAAAAAAAACTATCCCATTTAAATTCAAAACATTTTCAGGTTAAACAGATTGTTTCAAAATTTTCAAAGCTTGGGGATTGGGTGGTTTTTTTTATGAATAGTTGAAACATCTGTTCAGATATGACCGATATAAATAGAATTCTTCGGTATCAGACGTTGGTAGTTTGAATGCTTTAACAGCAGCTACTTTTTTTTCATTGATTTGTTTTCCGTAGATCTTGATTTCGTGCTGAGTACCAATGCTACCGACGTCAGGGAGGCAGCTCCCACACCTGGACTCTACCTATCGACCCATCGACTCATGAACCGGGGACCAACGGCTTTACTTCCCGGCGTGATCAGAGATGGTATGCCTCAGAACATCCCGGCGGCGCACAGTGGGGCCGTTCTGAAAAAAGACGGTCAAAAGTCTTTCCTCATGTCCATTTACGTTTTTGAGGGTATGTTTCTTCGGCGAAGTTGTTTGGAATAGTGATCCGCTTTTTTTGAAATAAACATCGATTTTTTTATTAAGGGGGTATTACACTTAGAAAATCTAATTTACGTAAATGAGATAGACGTATTACGTCTACAGTAAAGTTGTAGAACTAGATATTTTAAGAAACTTTGTTGGAGGCACACATTTTCTATGGCTGAAAATAAATGATGTATTGCGGATTTTCTCTCCAGACTACCTTAAAACAGGTTTTTCGAGTTATTTAATATTGTATTCATATTTTATCAGTACGCTATGTTATGATAGCGAAATATATATATATATATATATATAGATATTATGAAAATCCATAACTTTTCTGAAGACACCAACAACTTTTATCGAAGTCATTTTGATGTACAATGCTGTCAAAGCCAAAATACACCACTTTTCTTAAAATGAACGGAATAGACCGAACAAGAGACGCAGGTTAAAAGTTCTGACAGATTCTGGAACAAACGAGGAACTGGCTTACCCTGCAGAAGATGTGGCTTAATCTATGACTGAAGATGAAGGTCTGTCGATATTTATCGATGGGAACTTTTCCAAGGACCAATGGACAATACTGCGTAACAAAACAAGGCAATGCAATGTTACTCAGATTTACCCTTCGTATAAGGCTCACGAAAAATGTCTTCCAGATAATATAAGTTCGTCACGATTCATTTTGTTTCAAATATGTTATACTTGATGAAAGTCGCGAACCGAAAATAATTTTAGACTCCCACTTGGAAAATCCGGCGTGGTAAGGTTCAAAATTCGCGAAGTCGTTGAAATTGGCTAACTCGACGGTGTGCAGTGTTCTAAAACGTTTCCGTGAGTAGCATACTATCGATCGGTAGGATAAAAGCAAGCGTCGTAGTGGAACTAAGCAGAGTTGCGACCTATCACAATCACGATCGTCGAACAGCAGATGGTAATAACGCTTAGTACATGACGAAGCACTCTCCATGACCATCCATCAAGTTGACGAAATAAGTATAAAGCAACTGGTGAATGTCGTCCTCGGTGTTGATCCATCACCGATTTGGTCATTCCCGACAATCACGACACTCATTTGTGCTCGTTTTGAAGCAGTTGCTGCTTTGCTAGCTTATGTGAGTATGTTGGTGAGTGAGCCCAACAGCTTTCGTTTAATTTTGCCAGGTTTGTTTGTAACTTACACAGTCACGCGTGCCTAGTCGAACTTGGAATACGTAGACATTGTTTTCATTTTCTTCTGTCGATTCTCTTTTTTTGAACTCTTTATTTGTTCCAAATTCAAAATAAATTACATTTCATTTTAACCTAGGTGCTCCAGTTACTACAGTAACTTACCAGCCTTAACTGTTATGATATATATCTAAGCGTTTTTACATTGTTCCTGCCTTGGCAATTCAGTTTTTTAAACAGGTTTTTTTAACCTGCATGTCAGTATAACAATTGAAATCTTAAAAGTAAAAACTAAAACTAAATCTTATCTAAGTATAAAGGGAATTAATCGTTGCAATTGAGGATTGCAACGATTTTTGCCTGAAATTATTAATTATTTCTATGTGCCTCGGTAGTACTGTACCAGGGAGGCAACTTCAAAATCATCTTCAGAACTTTGTTCTGAATCCTTAGAAGTGCTTTTTTCCTGGTAGTGCAACAACTAGATCATATTGGTACAGCGCAAAGCATGGCCGGTCTAAAAACTTGTTTAAATATTAGAAGTTTATTCGTCAGGCAAAGCTTGGATTTGCTGTTTATAAGAGGATACAAACATTTTATATATTTGCTACATTTGGCTTGAATGCCCTCAATGTGATCATTAAAATTTAATTTTTGGTCAAGTACCAATCCAAGATATTTCACTTGGTTTGACCAGGAAATTGGAACTCCGTTCATAGTATTTTTTTCTTTCTTTATTTTAGAGATTTTTAGCCTTAGGCTAGTTCATCTCTTAGGCTCCGTTCATAGTGACTATGTGACTACTACTAGGTTTTCATAAAGGAAGCTCTAGGCTTATGTGGAAATATTATAAGTTGGGTTTAGGACGCGTTGGGCGAAATCTTCCATTTTTGTAAATAAGAAGAGAAAATATCAAAACTTTTCTGCAGTCTGCTGCAGATAACACGAAGGCTTCTTCCTTTAGCGGAAATGCCTTTGTCATCAGCGAACAAAGATTTGTGGCAACCCTGAGGCAAATCAGGGAGGTCCGAAGTGAAAATGTTATACAATAAAGGCACAAAAATGCTACCCTGAGGAACTCCTGCTCTAACAGGATATAGATCAGATTTGAAATTTTGATAATTTACCTGCAGAGTTCTGTAAGTTAAATAATTTTGAACTAATTTCATAATATAAAGTGGAAAATTAAACTTTTTCAATTTAGCAATCAAACCTTCATGCCAAACACTGTCGAATGCTTTTTCTATGTCTAGAAGAGCAACTCCAGTTGAGTGGCCTTCAGATTTGTTTGAACGAATTAAATTGGTAACTCTTAACAGTTGATGAGTAGTTGAATGCCCATGGCGAAATCCAAACTGCTCATCTGCAAAAATTGAGTTCGTATTGATGTGAAGCGTCATTCTATTGAAAATTATCTTTTCAAAATGTTTACTTATTGATGACAGCAAACTTATTGGACGGTAGCTAGAAGCTTCAACTGGATTTTTATCCGGCTTCAAAATTGGAACAACTTTTGCCTTTTTTCATTTATCAGGAAAGTATGCCAAATGGAAACATCTGTTAAATAATTTTAAGAGAAAAGACTCTCTGGGAGTTTTTTGATGAGGATATAGAAAATTCCATCATCACCTGGAGCTTTCATATTTTGAAACTCTAATTTAGAAACATTATTTTCAAAAGTTTTGTTCCTCAGGGCAGAGAATCGCTTTTTAATTTGTTTTTGCAAATCCCGCCAGGTAACTTTCATGGCAGTATAGCGTGTTCTTTGATATTGTCTCCTACGGACATTTTGAAAACGGATCAAGAACTGAACATCGTCGTCTATTATGATTGAATCGAATTTAACCTCGCATTATGGTACTGAGGCAGCTCTTGCTTCATCTATAGAAGTAGTCAGAGATTCAAGAGCATAATTAATGTCATCTTTGGTTTGCAAAGGAATGTTCAGATAGAAGTTATATTCCATAAATGTTCGATATTGCTCCCAATCAGCTTTATAGTAATTGAAATTAGAGCTGTTCAGATTAGAAATTATTTCTTGGGATATTTCAAAAGTTACTGGAAGGTGATCAGAACCGAAGTTAGCATGGGTAACCAATTGGCTACAAAGTTGTCATGAATCAGTAAAGATCAAATCAAAAGTTGAGGGATTTCTTGCTGAAGAAAAGCATGTTGGGCTGTTTGGATATTAAATAGTGTAATAACCTGCAGAGCAATCAGTAAACAGAATATTACCATTGAAATTGCTTTGGGCATTATTCCATGAGCGGTGTTTTGCATTAAAATCACCAATAATGAAGAATTTAGACCTATGATGGGTAAGTTTCTGAAGGTCACCCTTGAGAAAATTCTTTTGCTGGCCTACGCATTGGAATGTCAAATAGGCAGCTATAAACGTAAGTTGTCCAAATTTTGTTATCAACAGCAACTGCCAAGGTTTCAAAAACTTTGGTTTCAAATGAAGAAATAATTTTATGCTTGATTCGTCTATGAACAATGATGGCAACGCCACCACAGGGTCCATAAAGACGATCATTTCTATAAATTAAATAATTTGCGTCCCTTTTAACCTTATGGTCAGGTTAAGAGAACTTTTCAGTTATAACGGCAATATGCACATTATGAACTCTCAAAAAGTTAAATGGCTCGTCTTCATTATCTTTAAGAGGTCGAGCATTCCAATTTAAAATATTTATTGATTTAAAATCCATTACTGAATTTCATAGTCATGACAATTTTGTTCGCAAATTTTACTCCAGTTTGAATAGCATCAAACATGGAGTTTGATTGAAGCATATCAGTAATCATGTCAATTAATGATTTCGGTTAAAAATCCATTTAAGGATCAGTAATGCTTCATTAGTAAAAATTTTCAAATTTCCGTTAAAATTACGTTGGCTAGTATTTTAACTTCTACCCGCTGCAAAGCAGCATAGGTAGCTCCATTAACTCGCTGAACATTGTTAGCAGCGAGGGGAGTAGGTATAGATGACAAATTTGAAGCAGGGGTGAAATTTGTACCTACGGGTACGAATATAGAATTTGTTCCTCGCTGACCGTTGTTAACAGAGGAGGAATTTGTACCAGTCGGTTAGAACGAGATGTCACGCAAACCAAAAATCTATTGCAATGAATGTTAGTTCCGTTTCCTATCATCCTCTGTTCATGAACATCGCAACGAATGTTAGAAATTGACCATGCAGGCGATGTAATGGTTTTTTGTCTTTTTTATTTCATGTTCTATCTACGCTTTCGACTATACCAGTAAGCTTGTAGAACGACGCACATTGTAGAACATTGTACAACGACGCACACACTTGCCTCGAATCTCTCCAGCAGAAAAAGCATACGAAGTCGAGTATGCGAGAAAATGAGAGCTTCATGTTTGCTTTTAGGCTCTTCATGTTCAAAAGCATGGAGAGAGCAGTGGAGAAAGCACAGGTCTGATAATCGGTAACGTTCGTGGTTCGAGTCCAGTCGGCAGTCTGTTTTCTATTTTTTCGACATAACTAATTTACCTCACTAATACACTCTACATTTTTCGGTCTCCAATTTTCTTGCATTGAATCCGGTCTCCACTAACATCCTCTGATGATGAATCCCACATAATTGTAAGCGAGTCTTACATCCCCCGGTTGGGTGTAGAAGAGGGTAGTTGGATAGTTTCATTAGAGTACGGCAGTATGAAAATTGAATAGAAGTTGAAAATGAGCGAAGGGCCATTAATGCGACAGTACAAAGCCAAACGCACACCTTTTGCCTAACTCGTACGATGTACGCGGAGATTTGAATTTGATTTGAATTCAAATTTATGCTGCTTCTCAGTAAGATACTTAAGAAGACATTTGAATCCGTCCCAGGTTTCAGCGAATACACGGCATTCACCCCGACGGACAATTTGTGGTGAAAACTAAAATTTCACGAAGTTCAAAAGTTCCGTGCGAAGAGAATGGAGATCGGAAGTTGTTATCACAATAAGGATAATCTTTTCCTTCTTTGAATTAAGCCGGGAAAGTTTACTAGAATTTTTCCTGGATGATGGATCTCCGTGAGCTAATCTAATTGATTGCTCAAATTAATTTCATCAGAAGGGGGATCAATAGATGATGATGATGATGATGATGGTCCCACCTCATAAAAAAAATCACTGGATAACTGTTCAAAAGACAGTTTTAACGTGTGAAATGCAGTTTCTTTTAAATTCTGTAACTGCTGCTGAACGTTTGATATGTCTAGGCATCGAATTGAAAACATTTATTCCTTTATAATATAATGAATTTGTGAAGCACAAGTCAAGAAATGGTGTTCTTATTTTGACCGCGTTTCTAGTATTAGGGAAGAGCGCTACTTCGTCGTAATCGCCCATTTCCGTTCTATCGAGCAGAAATCATCAATAATATCAATGATTTCACAATGCACAAAACAATAATACGTTTGTTCCGATGCGTTAGTTCATTAGCTACAACATAAATCCTATTAGAGCGCATTGCATGCATATTTACACTCATTGTTCTCAAAACAAAAGAAGCGCTCCTAGCGCATCCCCTTTTTCTCCGTTTATCCGTAGGACGAAGGAAATCTAATGGCGTTTCAATGCGTTTGGACGGAATTGAAACTCGTAGAACGAATTTAGAATCAAGAAGCAGTGTTAGATTTTAGACAATATCTCATCAATTTGTGACTCTTTATCAAATCCAACGGTACGTATGGAAAGGTGAATAAATTTTCAAGTCATCTTTGACAAAAATATTCCATTTTTTGTTTAAATTCGTTCAGAAAAGAGAGGTAAAGCGCGGGTTGTGCTTAGTAGGACGGAAATTAGATCAAAAACCCTATATCTATGAAAGTCACTTCCTCTTTCAATTTGATCGCACAAATATTGAGGCAGCAAACCGTTAACTACTTTAAAAATGACCATCATAGTCAAATATACAATTCTTTGCTTCACCGACAACCATTGTAAGGCGTCTAACATCAAAGTTGAGGAAGTGAATCTATTACATCTCAAAATCAAAAGCATTATTTAACTCTGCAAGCGCTGTAATCTCGATATTTGTGTTGCATTGGCCAGAAATAAAATGGAAGATCGCCTTTGTCTTTTGCGCTTAGACGCCATGGCGGCAGTAAATTTTTATCCGTGGACATTGACGGCGCCATCACGCAGTGATTGACAGTTCCTTATGAGGTTTTCGGAGGTTTGTTTTAAAGAAAGTTGAAAACACTTTTTTATGACATCTCTTAAATTAATACAATACAGGTTGTCTCATAAGAAGTTGAAAATACTTTTAAATAACACTCTGGCAATTCAATGTACGCTTTGCTGCTTACAAAAAGTCTTTATGACGGATCGAAGGCGTGTTGCACCAGAATATAATTGTCATGCCATTGGAAAGAACATGATAGATACTTATAATAAAGCTTTTATCAAGCGGAGTTGGTCTAGTTAGGAAGTTAGTCTACCACGTTAAGGACCAGTGTTCGAATCCCAAGCTGATTTTTTTCTTAAATTTTTTGCCGATGGTTTTTATGATGTTCTCAAAGCATGTTATAAGACCATTATTTAGTTTTATAAGCTCCGCGTCTTGCGCTTTTTAGGTTTCATAAATGTATTAAATGATGTATATTGTATAGTATTATTGATTATTTGCGTGAGTCATTGAAAAGTATTTTTAACTTCTTTATGACAAGCCGTTTTGCTTGGGTTATCCATTACTGGACAGATAATAATTTGTAATTAATTGCTATCGCTAAATTTCAGGGGGAAAGAAATGCTATTGACAACCGCAACATGCTATTAAAGCTGATATTCTGTCACAAAATACTAAACATTCTTTCACTTAGACTTGTATTTTATTTCACGCAACCGAGCAACTTGAAAACAATGTTGTTTACAAAGATGGTCTTTTGTATACAATATTTGCTACATTGCATGAAATGTGTCAGAACTTTACATGATATGTAATGTAAACGTATATGATATGTGACGCTCCATTTATGTGCATCATATTGAACAGAAATTTACACTACTTTTTCGAACTGTGTAATTTCTCTTCGAATTAGAAATATTTTTCTCTTCAACGGAAGATAATTGTCCTGATCACGTTCCTACAACTGCTGCTGGTTGGGTTAGGAATGCTAGTATGACATAAGTAAAATGCTCTCATAAATGTCACGGGAATCTAAGGATTATGTTAGTACGGAAGGCATTGGCATAAACTAGGGCGCGGAGCATTGTTACACTCCAAATAATTTACATATTCCCATTTAAACTATGTGCAAACAATCGCAACAATCGAGCCAGTGCTACTGTCAAATTTTCAAAGTTAAATCTGATTGGATGTTCTACTTAGTTGTTTTTTGATTGCCAAAATCAAGATCAAATTCGACGTGCCAGAATCAAGTGGTAAAATAATGTAGCAATATGAATAAGTAATCCCTAAGCGTGAAATTATCATAAAATTGATCGGTGTTAGATCTGATACGCAACTCGAAAAGGTACCGTAGTATGTAACAAACTGTTATGAAACTTCATGGAATGAATACATATTAAATCCGCAGACTAGAAAAGAAGTATTTCAGCAAAATGCTGTTGAAAATCGCATTTAAATATTGAATGGTGTACAGGTTTCGTTTTGTTTTGCGATAATCGTCTATCAATTTTGTCACCGACTTCAAATGAAATTGATAGAATAATTCGAAAATGTTCAATGACTGATTGACGCCCGAGTTCCACTGTAATAAGATTTGGAAACCATATCAAACAATACGCTTACCTTCCGTCCCGCGCGTTCGACCAGCATCGTTGAAAAGTACGACCCCACCATCTGTATCGAGCCAATCACAATGGCGGACGTGTTGGCGGACAGCGTTGACCCGGACTCGTTGAAAATTGAAGCTGTGTAGTTGAGCATTGCAAAACACCCGCAAAATTGATTCAGTGCCATCAGACTGATGCCAATTAGAAATGCTTTCCTGGCGTGGGAGGAAACTGGGAATGCAGAGAAAATGGTTCTTGGTTTATTCTACACTGTTACGAAAAAAAAAAATCAATCCGTATCGGTTTCGCTCACTAAGATCACCCCACGTTATTTTCTCATCCTGTAAAGTTTGATTTTCGTCACCAAAAGCGTCCTTCAGTTTTACCAGCTCCATTTTAAACTCGCTGGAAACGTGCTGCGTTCCAGGACGATACCCTCGGTAGAATCGGAGGGAGTTTTCTGATTCCTGGAATCCAAGGAAAGATTATGATTATGAAGTCATGTTGGTGGTTGATTAGATTCTTACAACGTAATCGTTTTTCCTCATCAAGTAGAAAGGCGTATCCGGTATGCGAAGGAATCCTGTCAAAAAAACAATCGGGAAAACAAGAGGTATCCACGGGATGTTTGCGTAGGATAGACTACCGCCAAGGATATACATCAATAAAATGCCCATGTTGCATGAAAAAACTAGAGTGGATCCCAACAAGCCTCGAATTCTAGAGAATTGAAAAATTATACTCAAAAATCATTGGTTGCTACATTAACCTTCCCATATTCTCACCTGTCCTCGGCAATTTCCGCGATGAACATTGGAATAATCATGAAGGAAACTCCTCCGGAGAATCCCAGCAGAAAACGCATTCCCATCAAATAATAAACATTATCCGCAACCAAGACCAAGACCCACGCAATCTAGAACAATCGAATCATGATTGATGAATTGGAAAACATCCACTTATGCATAGGCACGTGTATTACAATTTGTGGAATTGCTGCTAGGCAGGCCGTCAGCTTGCGTCCAAATCGATCGGCCATCCATCCGGATACGATATTCCCCACAAAGCCTCCAATACACAGGAACGCACCAATCCATGATGCTTCATCCGATGAAATTGGGCCACTGGGTAGCGGTGAGTCCGTTGATTGTAGAATTGGCAGCGAGGGGGATGTCCAACCACAGCATAGACCATAGCTTATCGATAAAAGGTTCACTGGAATTGTGTTCACAGTAAGTGACAAATTATCCTAATAGTCTCCTTCGCAGCCACTTACGACAGAACGTGGCCAAATATTGGTTCCGAGCACTGTTGGTGGATTCCATGTTTCACGCTGTCTAGTGACAATGGTGCTTCCAGAAAGGTTCCTTATGTTACACCTTGAAAGTCGCAACTACCAAATGCATTTGTCGAACGAGACCAAAAGCCTGGTTATCTGGTCCGGCAGTGTAACACGCAAACAATGCCCGCGTATCGTGTTTGCTCAAACAGAAGCTGTATGTGCAAAGATTTAGCTTATTTATGACGCCCACTAGAACGGATGGATGCTTTCTTCCTCAAGGGTGTGTGAAAGTTACTTATCACGGTCAATCGGCGAGCACTGCGGGATTGTTGTGTATTTTGGGGCTTTGGCCTATAATCTAATATTCAATATAGTGCATGCTTCCTTGGGATTATTGCAGTGTTTTAAGCATTGCTTAACCGTTGAGAAATCACGATAATTCACCGACAAAATGAAAAGATTTTTAAACACACACACATGTAAATTTCGGTTTCTTGAGACCGACACCTGTAAGTGGGCCTTTTGACATAAGAATCAGTTGAAAGAAACGTGAAAATCAATTAAATCAAACGTTCTCTTCGTCGACTAGCTGATGTTTCGGTTTGAGAACACTTAATTTTACATGAAATGTTTGTTTATGTTCTATGATTTACGTCCTATATGGATTACGTCTTGCGTAAAAGTAGTTATTTCTAAGTGTGCATGTTACTTGTTTTTTTTTTAAATTTAGTTCTACATAGGGTAGAGCGCTACTTCGTCGTAATCGCCCATTTCCGTTCAATCGATCAGAAAAGATCAATAATATCAATGATTTCACCGTGCACAAATCAATAATAGGTTTGTTCCGATGCGTTAGTTCATTAGCTACAACATAAATCCTTATAGAGCGCATTGTATGAATATTTACGCTCATTGTTCTCAAAACAAAAGAAGCGCTCCTAGCGAATCCTCTTTTTCTACGTTTATCCGTAGGACGAAGAAAATCTAATGGCGTTTCAATGCGTTAAGCGAACCCCACACAGTTAGAAATATTGTCAATACTTACAAGTATTGACAATAATATTGATGATGTCAATACAGAAATATTGTCAATACCGATGTATTGACGTCAATATAGAATGTATTGACAATACGATTATTGTCAATACAAACAGTCGTGTAGGGTCCACTTTAGGACGGAATTGAAACTCGTAGAACGAATTTAGAATCAAGAAGCAGTGTTAGATTTTAGACCATATCTCAACAATTTGTGACTCTTTATCAAATCCGGTACTTATGGAAAGGTGAATAAATTTGCAAGTCATTTTTGATAGGAATATTCCATTTTTTGTTTAAACTCGTTCAGAAAAGAGAGGTAAAGCGCGGGTTGTGCTTAGTAGGACGGAAATTAGATCAAAAACCCTACAAAGATTTTGTGAATTTTAACGGTGATGTAAATATTGATGCATGCATGCTTGGCATACACAGTTTTGGTCACGAAATGCTCATTGGCTAATAACTTTGCACACAGTTGACGGAACATATTTCTTTTTGAAGCAGTAGATAGAATAGAGTGTAAGCTTGTTATAGATATGTAAAAAAGAGTAGATTTTAATGCTAGTAGTAAACTGTATTTGTTTTTGAGTTGTAAAAATGAGGTGAGAAATGCTCACTACACATCTCGGAATTTAAGTGTTAAATTGATTAGTGTTGATTCAAATGATAAGATTGACCTACTATTTGCATTTCTACAGTTAACTATGATCCTAATCCATCTATTACCTTGAAGAAAACAAAATTTCAACAACTGAGTGAAAAGTTATTAACAAATGAGCAGTTGGTGTGTACCGTGCGGGACCGAAATCCATACAGCACCGAAATCCGTACAGCACCGAAATCCGTACAGCAACGAAATCCGTACACCCTGTTGAATTTATTTATTTATATGCATCATAACAATGTAAATATTATACATGAATACATATTCACTTTCATTCATGCATTAGCTTGATGTTTACGTCAACAATTAAGCAGAATGTCATGCAATTAAAATAAGAAAAATAAAAACCTTATCAAGTATCGGGCATTTCTGTCAATCGGTTGCGTTCTTAACGATTTTCTAAAAAAAATCTCTCTGATTTACTTCCAGTTGTTAAGCGTATCTAAGCGATTTTTGCAAGTAGTTTCCTGAAGGTCGATCGGAATGGTAAGTGTTTATATTTTTATATCTCAATTCGAGGCAATGGATCATTCATATGGTATTTATTTATCAAAATTAGTACTGTACGGATTTCGATCCATATATAATAGCTGATTCTAAATCCGTACACTTGTGCATTAACAATGACGACTCTACTTTATCCAATGTTTTTCAGCAGGTCAGGGAAGCTAAGGAGGATTTGGAGAAGACTGTGGCAATGATGCGTGCGGGGAAATCTTACCGAGAAGCATCCAGGAATTTTGTTGTTCCATTTACCACCATAAGAGATGGCGTATTGAATCACTACTCTCTTATTTTAATCGTATTGTAAATGTTATATTATTAATATCTTTTAATGAAGAGCGTCAAGAACCAGCCGAAAAGTAAAACAATGGAGCTCCCCTACAGGATATCACCAACACGCATATACAAATTACAGAGAACAGACAGAAATGGGCAAGAGACCATTCCCAGCAGTAGCCACGAACGAGGAATGACCGGAAATATACATGAAAGTAGAGTGGGAGAAAATTGATAAAGAGAACGCAAAGAAACAAAGGATTGAAGAACGGCAGCCCTACTTTTGCTCAATAAAACAGATAAAATTATCCTTAATAAGTAAAAAAAATCTCCTTAAAATAGATCGGGTTGCTTCTTAAATGATTGATCAAAATACGTTAAAAATCTTTAAATGCTCAGTAAATATTTAAAGTACGCTCCATAAAAAAGAGAAACTGTACATTAAGCATTTGAAAATGCTCCTTAGTATGCACCGCTTTGCACCATTTTGAAGTGTAATTGTACCATATATCATCAGAAAAGCTGCTGTAGAAAGGTTAATAAGTACCATGATCAACTGAAATGTTCAGTAAATCATTGTGTGCATTTGTGCATTTTTACTGAACATTTCAGCTGATTTCATGGTACTTATTAACCTTTCTACAGCAGCTTTTCCGATGATATATGGTACAATTACACTTCAAAACATTACACAGTCAAAATGGTGCAAAGCGGTGCATACTAAGGAGCATATCAGAAAAATGGTCGCAGTGATGAAAATACCCGACAAGGAAAAAAAAAAGGAGCATTTTCAAGTGCCTAATTTATAGTTTTCTCTATTTTAGGGAGCGTACTTTAAATATTTACTGAGCATTTTAAGATTTTTAACGTATTTTGATCAATCATTTAAGAAGCAACCCGATCTATTTTAAGGAGATTTTTTTACTTATTAAGGATAATTTCATCTGTTTTATTGAGCAAAAGTAGGGCTGCCGTTCTTCAATCCTTTGTTTCTTTGCGTTCTCTTTATCAATTTTCTCCCACTCTACTTTCATGTCACATCATATAAGGAGCAACCCGATCTATTTTAAGGAGATTTTTTTACTTATTAAGGAACATCGTCATTGTTTAATGATTAATTTACCTATTTACCATTGAGGAACGACAATTGAAAAAGGTTGAGCGAGAGAGGAAAAAGAGGAAGAAGAGGAAAGAAAGTTGGAAGCAAGAAAGCATTATAACTTGAAAAGTCAATGGCAACAATGGAGAAGAAGCACAAGAAAGCTGTGGAAAAGAAGCAATGAAAGATCTGCATTTTTATAATTATAATCTTGACGTTTTGAATTAAATTAATTTATGGTTGTTAACTTACCAATTTTATTTTTCATGCACAAGACGAAAAACTAATCCTTGATGAAGTAATGAAATTGGGTTGTTAGCGGAATGCTAAATAAAACAGCAAAAAAGGTTATCTTCCATTTAATTCCACTTAATTAATTTTGGTATCCATGACAGATAGGATTAGATTTTGATAAGTTCTTTAGTGGGAATGACACTGATGAAGACTGCACATTGTAGTCGAAATACGTATCTGTCATGGATACCAAAATTAATTAAGTGGAATTAAATGGAAGATAACCTTTTTTGCTGTTTTAATCCTTGATGTCATTGTCTTTTTTTGTTGGTTTCTAAGATGGTTGTAATTTTTTTTTACTTATCCTCCATTATAGGGCTATCTTAAGAACCGCTTATTCCATCGCTTGATGCCAGTAGGTTGGTGGAGCGTTTCCATTATCGGTGTATTAAAGATGTTTCTGCAATCTTTTCTTCAGTTTGCTATTATTGATTCGACAACATTGTCCAAGCTACACCGCCCAGTTTATTCCCGGTTAATAATGATTTGTAGCGTTGAGCTGGAGTACCCCCAAGTTCCAAAGTATGGCGCATCTTGCACGTTATCACATTTCAAATTTCAAAGAACTCGAAGTTGTGACTATAGTAAGAATATTTAACCCAAATCACTGGTATAGAATCAAATTTGGAGGAATCCCTAAACATGATACATTTTTGGATTCAGCGCACGATTTTACATGGGAAATGATCATCAGCGTACAAAGTTCAAATGTGCTGTAAACTAGTGTAATTAAACGAGTATAGCTGTTTTGGCCTAGCCAAGCAACTTCTAAAAAAATACTTGATTAAAGATAGCAACATGTTTTTTTTTTTCATTGATTTGGATCGATTCACATTCATGTACGGATTTTGATTCATGACTGTACGGATTTTGTTTCATCCTCAACACAGTGTACGGATTTCGATTCAAAATTGTACGGATTTTGATTCAATTGTAGAACGCTGTACGGATTTTGATTCAAGATATGTGCAATTTAAATACTTTTTTCTAATAATTAAAGGTAATTTTAAGACCTGGTGTTTGCAAATAATGGTAATATAAAGATAAATGCATAGGAAAAAGATATGATACAGAGCATAAAGTGATAGCATTATTTAGGATTGACCGTTAATGATTCTCTCGTGCTTTGGTGTATGGATTTCGGTCCCGCACGGTACAACTGTGCATGCCAAGCATGGATGCATGCAAAAATTCCAGCATATTCAATAATCAAGATTTATTTTTCAAAATATTTTTAAATTACTACAAACAGGAAGAAATTACCTCGAAAAACAACTAACACCGAGATTGAAAAATAGTACAACAATGCTCTCAGTGAACTAGTGCGATTTCTGAAGGGCTATCAAATCGTTATTAGAGGTTTGCCTGCATGTTTGAAATTTACATTGGCGTAGCTAACGGGGGTGTCAAGGAGACCAGGCCCCCTCCAAAATTTTATAGCACCCCTCCCCAGGAATGTTGGGTGTTTTTGTATACACCGATATTTTGTCAAGTAGTGTTGAGGTTAATTTTTATAATGATTGATTTTTATTAACGTCTACTTTTCTGAATGTTCTAGACTAGAAGAAACAATGTTGAGGATTGGCCAAGAGCTCCGGGATTTTTCTTTAACCTCAGGGAACTTTGTAAAACATCAAGGACATCTAAGAAGATCAGGGAACATCGTAGAAATTAACGAAACATAGTAGAAATTCTGGGAACTTCATAAAACTGCAGAAAAAATCGTAGAACTCGGAGAGGTTTGGAAAAGTTCAGAAAACTACGTAGAAGTGCGAACTCTATTTAAAGTTGGGATCTTCTTAGAAGTTAAACATTATGCAATATCAGGGAACCTCATTATTGATCGGGATCTTTATATAATTTCAAGATACTTTTTTGAAGCCTCATGAGCTTGGAATAATTCAGGGAATTACGTACAAGTTCAAGAAATTCCATGCGTGGAAACTGCAGCAAAGTTTGTAGAAGTTTTGCAAATTTTGTAGCATTTTAAGAAGCTGCATAAACATGCTGCAAGATCGAAAAATAGTTCAGCAAACTTCTAAAAACTATTTAACATAAAAAATAAAATAATTCAACAAACTTCTAAGAAAGAGATGAACTAGCCGACGGCTGCAAATCTCTTTAATAAAGAAAAATTAATATAAGCTAACTTCTAAGAACTCAGAGATCCTCGTTTCAGCGTATGGAACTTTCCAATAGTTGTCAGAGATCTTGCTTCAAAAAAGCTCAATGAACTTGTTGGAAGTTTTGGGAACTTCGTTAAATTTCAAGGAACTTTCAAGATGCTCAAGAATATTTGTAGATGTAGATTAGACCTGTTCGTTTTAAAACGAAATGTTCGGAATGTAACAGGTCAACCGTGATTACTGTTCGTCATGTTAATTTGAACTTCTGTGCAAATTTTCAGCAAAATCGGTGATGATTTAGAGGTGCTTCAAGTTAATTTTATGTTTTTAAGGTAATTTACGGCTTATTACATTTGTATCTCGAGACAGAAACAACGAAAACGGCTGTAGCAACTTTCATAGAAAAGCTTAATGTGTTATCTATCAACTTTGTTACCAAAAGTTGACTATTCAAAGTGATTTTATTGAAGTTTGACTTAGTTTCATGCTCGAAAATATCTTTAAAAGTGAAGAATTTTAAAGTATTTGTTCTACGAATTTTCCACCCATATGATATAAAAATGTGTAACAACAGAGCCAATAAAAGTTTCAATTAGATTGACAGAACAAAGTTACATTGCTCTTCAATGACGACCGATGACTGTTTCATTGATATATGATTTTGTCATAAATATGAAACCTCAGTAGACGTGTTTTTTTTTTTTATCAAAGGCAAGTTTCAATTCAGGAAATCATTTTTTTATAGCAAGTGAGTGGAAGAAACCCTACCCTGGGTTGTACTCAAACGCTTGCTGCCGACCTTTCCTGGCGCTAGATAGTGTTACATTCTTGTCCGCTGCGTGAGGTATGGAAAAATGAAGAGTGGACTATATTGGATTAAATGAAGACCCACATAACTTCTTTCAGAAATTAAAATTTCACTTTGTTATTAGTTGTATATCATCTTTTTTCTTCAACTCATGAGCTTAGCGATGGTACTGAAACTTTTTCCTTTGGTTTCCGGTACGACGATTGCCACGAAAATTGCACCACTCAGCGAACAGATCGAAAATACCAGCATCGTTCCGTGCATTCCAAGTAACTCGAATAAAGTTGAAACGAACTGCAAGTAATTCTTTGAAGTTTACTTTATAAGACGCTCAGTTCAAGTTATCCTCACCTTAACAGACATAAAGGCAAAGAACCATGAGATACCCATACAGAAGCTGAAGATAAATCCTTTAACCTAAAACACAGAATGAAACTGTAGTCACTTAATAGATGAAGAAACTCGACAAGTTTACCTTCTGTGGAACAATCTCGGCCAGGACCACAAATGGCAAGGGCAGGGCACCTAGGGAAGCGAGCAAAATCACAAACGAAAAACATACCAGCGGCAGCCAAGTTAACGACTCCACGTCATGGCCAATATTTTTGGCATATGAATATCCAGCGAAAATTGAAAGACCAATTGCCATTCCAGCGCCGGAAATAATTAGCAGCAGCTGAAAGGTATGATTCAGTTACTAGGAGGCAAATTAAATCGAAATCAAAACTTAGTCAGATGTTCGGTGCATTACGGTAAATCAGATTGTTTTTTTTTGCGATGAATGCAAAGTAACCGTCGTTTCGCTTATTTGCCATCCTAACCTTTCGCCCAGCACGTTCGACCAACATAGTTGAAAAGTACGACCCAACCATCTGTATGGACCCGGTCACAATAGCGGACATGTTTACGGGCAGCGTTGATCCGGACTCTGCAAAAATCGTTGCCGTGTAGTTGAGCATTGCAAAACAACCACAAAATTGGTTAAATGCCATCAAGCTGATTCCAATCAGGAATGCCTTCCTGGCGTGGGGTGTCACTGCAAGTAGACAAAAGCACACAACAAACAATCAACAAACTCTCCCATCGTACCACCCTCAGCAACCAACCTAAATCCCTCCACGTGATTTGATTGATCTGAATGGCTTGCTTTTCACCGTCACCAAAAATGTCCTTCAGCCTGCCAAGCTCCTGATGGAATTCGATAGAAACATGTTGCGTCCCGGGGCGATATCCACGATAGAACCTGAGAGAATTTTCCGATCGCTGTAAATAGAATTTAATGAGAAGCCATTCGATTGCATTGTCTCGATGACTGGTTTAGATTACCTGGGGCTCGTTTCTCCTCATCAAATAGAAAGGTGTATCTGGAATCATTGGAAATCCTACTAGGAAAACTACTGGAACGACAATCAGTATGTAAGGCACGATTTCGTACGGTAAATAGGCCCCCAGTGTGTACATAATCAGAAGGCCAAGATTACTCGAAAATACCAGTGTCGATGCAAGTAGACCACGGATCCTAAATCAGTGTAAGATTAGTTAAACTTCAGATGATTAGGGTAAGTGCGCCAGTTGCTGGCCATGGTGACCCAGCAATTGGCATTGGCTTAAAAACACATCATTTTATGAATTAAAGTGTATTTCATTAGCAGGCTAGAAGACATAATTTCTTAAAGATAATTACATAAGTGGAGCAAGTAAGCTATGTCAATTGGATAGGTTTTGCTTCAAATTCGGCACCACTCTAACTTCATTACCGATCCGACTACCGAGATTACCGGAATCTGGTATTATCGGTAAGCGGGTCAGAAATGGAATTTGTGAGCTCCCTAATTTGAAGCGAACCAGATCAAATCAATATCGTGTGCGTTATCTAATCCCACTAATTTTAAACCACATTTAGATATTCAAGTATTTTAGGATTTTATTTTAAAATACCGTATGCGTGATAATGTTTGCACCATCGTACAAATAAGGTTCCCGTTTCACCTGTGCATACACGTAACCTATAGCGCATACCGTAGTAGGCTGTGTATAAAAGAAAATGATTTACTTAGTTTGACAGTTGCACCATGACGAAGTGGCAGCGTATTCGTGATTTGTCCCACGCGCAAATGTCGCAAAAAGACATTTCAATCGCCGTGGGAGTGTCCCGGTGGATCGTCAAAAGGTTCCGAGGGTTATCGCTGCTATCAAAAGGAAGATTCGGGTGAATCCAGTGTGTTCAATAAAGAAAATGGCAAAGGAACGCGGGATCAGTGACTTTACGGCATGGAAGATAGTAGATGAAGATTGCGGGGCGAAGTCGAGGGCACGGAAAAAACTCACATGATAACCAACCGCATCCGGGAGCTACGAGTCGAATGATGCAAGAAAATCTTGAACTTCCTTAAGCGAAAAAATCCGGTAATCCTGTTCACCGACGAGAGCATGTTTACCGTCGATCCCGTATCAAATTCCAGAACCGTTCTCTTCCGGTAAAAGACATGGCCGACGAGCACAAGAACATGTATCTGACCAAGCATCCTGCTAGCGTTATGGTGTTTGGGTTGGTGGCTTCCGATGGCAAAATATGGACCCGGTGTTCATTCCAGAAGGCGAGAAGGTCAACACGGAGGTCTTCATCGGGATTTTAAGTAAGTATGTTCTTCCGTGGATCAAAGAACAGTACGGTCCAAAGTCAAATGTTGTATTTCAACGAGATGGGGCTCCGTGCCACACCTCGAACCGCACTCAGAAGTGGTTGCAGGAACATATTCCGTTCTGGGCGAAGGATATATGGCCGCCATCCAGTCCCGATCTTAATCCGCTGGATTACTCAATATGGCGCGTCATGAAGGCCAAGGCCTGTTCTAAACGCCACCCGAGTACAGCAAGTCTTAGACAAACTTTGACCCGTACCTGGAGAGAAATGGATCCAGACTACATTATTAGAACCTGCCGTGCATTCCGGAAGCGTGTGGAGGCCGTAATTGCAGCAAGTGGAAACTCGATCGATGATTAACATAGTTTAAGACTCTGAGAAACATCCCCCTTTGAATAAATAAAAAAAAACTCAAGAACGAAAATTTTAAGAGTTTTTTTTTTAATTTTGACATTGCTCAATGGTGCAAACATTATCACACATATGGTATAAATACGAACAGTAGCAAGATTTCCGGATGAAACCTCCAGTTGAACTAAACCACCATTAATTCAATGTACCATTAAAATTATGTTTTACCTTTTGCACATTTTAGTGACTTGGTCACTATTTTCAAGCTAGTTTCCTAGTAACTTTTTTTTTTGTAGCCAGTCACTATTTTTAACTTTTCTATTTCAAGATTTACCATTCTTTATGCAGTGTGTAAGATTTTAAAGTTGAATCGATGCCTCCTTCGTTCTATTTTTTCGGTTTTGTGCTTCTATAGAGCTTTTATGCTTTTATTGGCTATTCATTTGGCTGAATAACATCCTCTGGGTTTTCTAGGTTTTTCCAGATCTTTAAAGGATAGTTTCCAGGTTTATAATAAGACAGCTATTTTTAAATGCTTTAAAAATTTGCTCTTTTTTTGCTAAAATAATAACAGCAATTAATGCAAACGTTTTCAAGACATGACAATCAGTTTTAACGAAACACTTTTACAATCAAATCCATTTAATGTAGAAGTTTAACAATTGCTTAATTTTAGTTAGTCTAAGATCTTGAAACACACAAAAACTTGAAGAAATTTTCAAATTCAAGATATTGAACTATGAAAATTAAGGAATGAATTAGGGAAACAAAAAATATGATTTATTTAAAGTTTTAAATTAACTCTATGAAAGATTGGAAATCTTCAGTGAACTCCTATTAACTTCACAACATTTGTAGAAACTTTACAGAAGTTCTGTGGAACGATAGGAAACACTGGATATTTCAGTGAAACTTTATAAACAAACTGCAAGAACATAAGGTAAGTTAACATCCTGAGGAAGCTTTAAGAACCTCAAAGCAATAAGGTTCCGAACAACTGCAGGAAGTTTAAAAAAGCTCATAGAATTTAAGAGAATTTCACCGTTGTCAAGAGAAATTTGCGGAAACTTCAGCAAAGCTCCGAGAGAAAGTCTGGAAAACAATAACCAATATATGATGTTTCGAAAAATGTAAGAGTATTTTTAATGTTATATCATGGAAATTTCATGAAGTTTTAAACATTGAAAAAATTGGCGTATTTGATAAGAGAACATTATTTAAAAAAATACGAGAACTTTAAACAAGCACCGATATCTTCAAGAAATTCTATAGAGCTTCTAAGAAATTAAGATATTTGTAGGTGTTTCATGATATTCAGTGAAGTTCACAGTACTTCAAGGACAATCAGATTACTTCAGAACAATCCCATTAACTTAAAGAAATGTGCAGCGACTTACAAGGAGTTCCACGTTATTATGGGATATTCCGAGAATTCTATGATTGTTCTAAAAACATCAGAAGCGTCAGCAAATTTTTAATCATATATTTACAGTCATTCTAAATTGGTAGTTTTGTTCCTTATCGAAAAATAATAGAATCGTATATTATTTTATTTTGTCATCAGAGTGCCCATTTCCATGTTAGGTTAGTCCAAAAAATGTTTTTTTAAATGGCTATTTTCAAACATATATAGCCTTTTAACCACTTAGTCGATCTCGAAGATCAAAATATCAAATGAAATTTAATTAGGAATATTCTGTAGGAAAAATATACTGGTAAGAAAAAAATTAACATTTGTTTGTTTATTTGTTTATTTGTTTAGTAGTGTAAAGAACATCACGGTGGCGCCGACTGGGATTGAACCCAGGCCTGCTGAGGTGAGAGGAAATCACGCTTACCACACCACCGGCGCCGCTAACGTCGATTTGTTGTAGAATAGAAGGACAATCGATTCTGTCCTGTAGAATGTCTGCCACAAACAGGGCCCTTGTCGTATCTCTTCGACTCCACAAAGGATCTAAGTGAATTAACTGGCACCGACTTACGTAGCTTGGAAGGCGATGAGGATCTCTCCAAGGCAATCGTCGAAGGGCAAACCATTCATCGTTGAATGGACTCTACTCTTTGTACACTATTTTGGTAATTGGGATTCCATACAGGGCAGCATGCAGTATTCTAACACCGACCGGACGAGGGAGCAGTTAATTGATTTCAAACAGTAGATGTCCGTGAAACTTTTAGCTATCCTGAAAATAAGGCCAAGCGTTCTGGATGCCTTGTCGCTCAGGTACGAGATATGCTGGCTGTATGTGAGTTGACAATCTAAGATGACTCCCAGATCCTTAATGTGATTCACACGATGTACGTCAACGCCTTCTAGGATATAACTGAATGTAATTGAATGTTTCTTCAGTGAGAACGTGATTACTGAACATTTTGTTGGAATTACAACCATGCAGTTCAGTTGGCACCAATTTGCAAAAGCTTGAGTTGGAGTTGGAGAAGGTGGCAGTCAGCGATGGCTCGGATTCGGAGATAGATTTTCATGTCGTCTGCGATCGACAGTCGTGGACCGTCGAGGACGAAATTTACGTCGATGAAATACATAAGAAATATCAACGGGCCGAGGTGGCTACCTTGCGGAATACCCGAAGTGGCAGGTAACGAAGGAGATCGGCAGCCGTCGATTGCAACATTCAACTGACGATCAGATGTATAGGATGCGAACCATCGTAGGAGACTGCCGTTTATACCGAGCCTATCCAGTTTGGCGGTCGCTATAGGACGGTTCAACTTGTCGAAGGCGGCTGATAGGTCAGTGTAGATGACATCTGTTTGCATATGGTCTGTCATACTCTCCGTAATGTACGAGGTGAAACACAGAAGGTTGGAAGTAGTCGACCGCCCTGCCATGAAACCATGCTGGTCTTCGCTCAAGTGTTGCTTGAAGTGAGAGACTAATGGTTCCATAACGACCAACTCGAACAGTTTAGATATGGCACACAACGATGTGATGCCGCGATAGTTTTTTTTTTTTATCTAGTTCGTTTATTTGGAAGGCTCAATCGCGTTAGCTTTACGGAGCCGATAATTCATTGTTCACTGTGTGTAACAAGATTCACTTAATTCTATGTCTAGTAGGAGTTGGGCCGATTACTCGCGGCTTACTCGAGGTTAGAAGGGTACATTTTCGAAGGATAGGATCAGGGGAGGAGCTTGGGGTAGGGTTTCGTTTTCTCATCAGAGCGTTGTCGCCTGCCGCGATAGTTGTCGATGTTTCTTTTGCACCCCTTCTTATGCACTGGAAACATCTCAGCCGATTTCCAGCAGGAAGGAAACACCCCACTGGAAAGGAACAAGGCAGAGAGGAGCCACCAGGCTATCGATGTGTTGCTTGAGAAAGACGGAAGGAACTCCATCAGGTCCAGGCTTAAATGAAGACTTCAGTTGCGAAACCGCCCCTGGTTATCATAGCGAGGTCGATGTTGATAGCTGCCAAAGATTGACCAGACATTGGAACATTACTGGCTGCTAGAGAAACGTGCTCGTCAAGTAGGTTCTCATCCGAGAATACAAACTTGGTTGAGAACAGACGGCAAATGTCCTGAGGGGATTAAGCTTCTTCGCCGTTCAGTACCATAGCCGATGGAAGGCCAGACTCCTTTCATTGCTCATTCACATAATTCCAAAAAGTTTTCGGGTGAGAATGAAGCTTCCGTTGAACATCTCGTTGATAACGCCGATAACATTGGTGACTGGTTCGTTGATTCGCATGATTGATCCTCGCATAATGGTCCTTGAGTTGTAGGGTGTGGTACTTGGTGTATTTTCTTAGCGCGGCTCTTTTGGAAGACTTTAACATACGGAGTTCACTTGTTTGCCAAAGATGATGATTACTTTGTCTAGGAACTTTTTTCGGAACGTGTCGCTCAATGACGTAAGCCAAAATATGCGAGAGCGTTTGGGCAGCTGCATTGACATCGACAGGGATGAGTATCCTGTGCCAGTCCAAATTCGAAAGAAGTTTCCCGATACTGTCGTGGTCAGCAGGTGGAATGATCTCAGGAATTTGGTTGCCTTCAAGTGCAATAGCTAAAGGAGGATGGTGTGGAACAGTGTTTATCAACGGAGAAACAGCCATAGTTTTTGAAGTTTTAGTTTTGGATTTTCACTCAAATAAATATAGATCAAATCAAATAGGTTTAGATTATGTGACTATGTTAGCTTTGTATCAATGGAGACGCATGGTAGTCTAGTCGCAGGGAAGTATTGAGCGAAAACATGGAAATGGTCACCCTCATGACAAAATAATAAAAAAATACGGGTCTAACATTTTGCGATAAGGAACAAAACTACAATTTTTTACGAAATTCTTAGAACTGCTATCTAGTTTTGCTATGGAATGGCTGTATATATATCAGAAAATTTGTCGAAACATTAAACCAATTTAGGGATCTTCAGGTAAGCATAGACAACTTCAGGAATGTCCAGATAAGTTCATGAAAAATTGTTGATTTAAGGCAAAGTTCCGTGAGCGTTTATAAAACCTATGAAAAATTTTGGAAACTTCAAGGCAATTCAATTAATTTCAGTGAAATTTCAGGCTCTTATAAAAAAAAATAGGGCAGTCTAGAGGACGTTTTAGGAAATTCAGAAATCTTTGGTGCAGTTTTAATTTAATTTGGATAGTATTGGAAAAGCTTACTAAAACTCGTTATGACTCACGAAATTTTCTCTTGGTAAACTTTGCGATATATTGCAAACTTTTCCAACGCTTGTTTAGATTATTGAAGAAGTTTTGAATTAATGTCGATAACTTAAGGGCAGTTCCATGAACTTCAGAAAAAACTTGAGAACTTTAGTTAATTTTCACTATTGAATTTCATCAAGTCCCGTCATATATTAATGTATGAGTTAGGTAAAGGAGCGTGCGTTTGACTAGTAATGTCACATTAATGGCTCTTCGCTCAATTTCATCTTCTGTTCAATTTTCACACAGTCGCACTCTATCAGAACTATCAACATATCCTCTTCAGAACTTTCTCTAGTTAATAAATTATCACATCACATCACATCAAGCTTCAAGTTGATATAAATATAGCATTTTCAACCCACTCTGAAAAGCATAGAACTAAATTATGAAAATTGCGGCAGCTAAACAATTTCCAGAAATTTCAGGAAAAAAAAACTTCACAGATGTGCAGAGATCTTCAAAAACATTTCTAGAGCTTCATATAAGTCTTTGGAACTTATACAAAACATAATATAAGATACATCAGGAGCTTTCTTGAACATTTGCAAAATGAAGGATCATTTGATAGAAGCTTAATAAGCTCCAAAAATTGGAGAAATTTCAGAAGGAGTTCAGTGTCATTAATTTCATAACATTAAAGATGATCCCAAACTTTCAGAGAACTTCATCCAATTATTGAGGCCTTTACATAAGTTTGGAAATTCTTAAGCATTTTTAGGACCAGGCATGGACAATTATATACATTAATTTCGTGCATTGAGTTACAGTAATTTGCCTCTAACTTTTTTCATAAACATAATTCTGGAAAATGATGTATTGAGCTTATGTAATTTTTGATATTAACTACAACTTTTCAAAAGACTCAGATCTGTATCTCTTATGCGTTATGGACCAGAGCGAACATAACCCACCTTTTTTTTTCACTTAATGTAAATTACATTCACTGATAAACAATAACAAGTTCTGCCCGCTCTGGTTTGTCATGCATAAGAAATAGAGATTTGAGTTATATACAAAAGTTGTAGCTTAAATTAAAGTTTCATACATTAGTTTACGTCATTCTGTTGATACAAAAAGTTTGAGGCAAATTAATTTAAATGAATGCACGAAATTAATGCACATGATTTATCATGCCTGTTTAGCACAGTTCAATTCTATTAATGGCACAAGATTCATGAGAACTAAAAAAGAAAAACTTATCTTCTATACTTAGTATCGATACCTTCAGGACAGAACATAGAGCTTAAGAGCAGTTCAGTTAACATTAGAGATATTATATAAAGAAGTTTTGAGAACCTCAGTGAATTGTTAAAACATTAGAGAAGACTCATGATCGTTAGGAAAATTGAGGAAACTTTAGGAAGACCGAAAAAGTTCATAGAAGTTTTAAAATTGAATAAGAAGTATTGTGAGCTGCAGACAAGTCTCACAAACTACAAAGGCCTAAAAGGCAGTTCTATTATATAAAGGAAAATTTTGGAAACCTTCCTGTAGCTTCGAAGACCTCAGAATAGTCCATTCCATATTCAACAGAGATTTTTCATGAAATATCACTTTGAGTTCTCCTCAGCATCCGCTTTATATTCTCTCGAAACTCCGGAAGTATTCTAGAAACTCACTAGGCAAGCTTCTTTGAATTCTTTAAAAAATATCACCAGAATATGCTTAGATCACTTCTCTCAATTCCAATGAAATATTCCTAACAATCTCGATGGAACTAAATTTTCTTTGAATTTTCTTTGGAATTACCATGAAATTCTTCGCAGTAAGAAACTCTTTGTAAACATTCTTTGAATTTTCATTGGATTTATTTCAGATTTCCTTTTGAATCTCAATCCTACCATTGGCATTCTACTAGCATTGAAAGTCTCCTAAGAGGTGATTTGCATTTCTTCTTATAAATTCCTTAGATTTCTCCTCGTAATTTGTTTGACAAACTCTTCTGGAATTATTTTACGAATTCCTTTGACAATTTCCAGGAGATATTCTCTGATTTAATTATATTCTTCCTTAAGCATCATTCCTCCCCAATCTTATGTTGATGCAGATAGTTCTAATTCAGTTAGTTTTACAAACCATGTTTGTTCACGTTTCATATTTTACGGTTTAGTTCGATTACATAACGATTAAACATATTTATTTTTAATTGTGTATAGATGATACTCGCACTGTTGTCTATTGTTAGATTAGCAGATGCAAGATATTAAAGTAAAGCTTTGTGTTGAGCTGCACAATTGAACAGAATAGAAACAAGATTATAGCAAAATTTCTTATTAACTATAGAACTTGATATAGTTATGTTATAGTTCTGTTCTTCGATGTACGTTTCCAACCCGTAAGATTTGTCTAGACCGGTGCAATAATCAAACCCACCGCCTTCGGCTTGGTAATACCGTTTCTTATCAGACTAGGCTATCTGAGGCCTAGTATGCACTGATGCCAAAAAAATAAACAAATAAGTATTACGAAATTTCTGAAATTTTCAGTTTCTAAATCACAAGCATAAAGAACTAAAAAGTCCTACTGGCATACCTAAACACAAATTAACCAAGCCTCACACATGTTCATACCTGTCTTCTGCGATTTCCGCGATGAACATAGGAATTACCATATAGCAGACTCCACCTCCAAATCCAGCCAGGAATCGCATCGCTATCAAATGATACACGTTTTTCGCAACAATAATCAACACCCCGGAAATCTAGGAAAACCATACAAATTAGAACATGCAAACTGATACAGCCAATATGGCACCCTTGAGCTACCATTTGTGAAATCACTGCAGTGTATGCAGTCCACTTCCGCCCGTACCGATCGGCCATCCAGCACGACACAATGTTCCCCACGAGTCCTCCTAGACAAAGGGTGGCTCCTATCCAGGAGCCTTCCTCCGAACTAATCGGTCCACTAGGTAACGGCGATTCCGGCGACTTCAAAATAGGAATCGACGGGGACATCCAACCGGAACTTGCTCCATAACTGATGCCCAACAGGTTTACTGTGGACAATACTCACTGTTTAACAAATTTCAATGACCAATTTGGCAAGCAAACTCACAGACAAATGTTGCAAAGTATTGATTTCTAGCACTGTTTGTTTGCTTCATGATAGATATGACAACATGCAATCTAACGTAAACTCAACCTTGAAAAATTTGCTCTAGGCCAGACCTTGAACACTACCAACCACGATGTTCCAACTGAAACTGGAGATTTTCAGCAGATTCATAATGGAACCCATAAATAATGCTTATTTGTTTTTTATTCTCAATTGCAGCCAGTATGGTGAAGCCATATGCAAAGAAATTCGTGCAGCTAGGTTTTCGTTGGCATTGTCCGGAAGTCTGAAATACGTATATCACAAAGTAATTAGTGCCTCGGGACAGTAGGTGAACAAGAAGAGTATAAATAAAACTGGGTTCAGTGAGCTTCCACCAAATCCTCGGGTGCTTCTACTATTGCCATGCAGTAATCTTTTAACCCTTTCACTACCGTTCTTGGATTTTATTCCCCCGGTTTACCAGCCTTTGTGCAGCTTGTTCGTCAGCGGTTGAAGTGATAGCGTGCAGCAGGAGACAGTTTGTTAATCTGTATGTTTTATTGCTTAAACAAGCGTGTGAAACGATGTGTGATCTGTTGATGGATGTCAGGGAAGGTTTCCTAGCAAAAATACCAGGACAGTCATAATTGCACCAGCCAGCGACGTGAACAGAACGATGTACAGTCATGCCAGATTAATCATCTGTATTTTAAGCTACACAGATATTTTTCGATTTTCAGCGTCAAAAATCTGTAGCCAAAATACAGATTTCTGTATGAAAAAATGTCTAAAAATCTGAACCATTCCAGAAAAATCTGTGTATGTGGCAACACTGCATACAGTGCGTGTCGGAAAAATAGAACCCTCTACAATAGAGTGGCCCACATTAATACGAGGGAATTTTTTTTAATATATTTTTACGGGTAAACCCCTAAATTTGTGCCATTAGGTGAGAAAACCACTCTCTGAAAATTTCAGCTCATTTGGATATAACACGAGCTGGCGCTTTTGCTTTTTAATTTATTGGGTGAAGAAAATTATTGTATTATTAATGTATGGAAAAATAAAATTTCTTCACTCTTTCGTGCATAGAACTCGTTCAGCAAACTCGATTAAGCTCAGAATTTCAGCACACGCAGCTTTAAATATAATGAACAACTTTGCTCCAGACAGCATCACGATTCAAGTTAGGGGACGTCCATTAATTATGTCACATATATAGGGGGGAGGAGGGGTTTTAGGGCCTAGGGCCTCATAGCCTAGTCAGTAAAGGCACGGTATTACCAAGCCGGAGGCGGTAGGTTCGATTCCCGGTCCGGTCGAGGGAATCTTTCGGGTTGGAAATTTTCTCGACTTCCCTGGGCATAGAGTATCATTGTGCTTGTCATACAATATACAAATTCATGCATTGGTATTGGCATCGAAAGCTATCAATTAATAACTGTGGAAGTGCATTTAGAACACTAAGTTGAGAGCACGCAATAAGCTAATATGCGCTAAGCAATAAGCTTGAAATGCGAACAAGAAGAAGAAGGGGGTTTTGAAAACTGTGACGAGCCATACAATAAAAATGAAAGTCCATATAAAAAATGTGACAAAGGGGGGAGGGGGGGTTGAAAATGGGCCAAATTTGCGTGACATAATTAATGGACCATCCCTTAGTAGTATGAAGATATTAATTAATTATGTTCATTTTGTTCGTTTATTGCATCTTTATCTTTATCTTTATCTTTATTCTTTATCTTTATTGGGAGCAGGGAAAAGCCCATTTGTGTGCAGCTTATAAAAGCTTTTTTTTCTGAAATGGGCATAAAACCTCCTCATCTTTTCGCATCAACAGAATAGTACATTCAAAATGATACAGTATTAACTTAACACTAAACAAAATATAACCACAGACAAACAGGCATAACACATTAAATATTTCTCATTGTAAAACATCGTCGCTTAAATATTCCCGTGATCTGGTGAGTCCACTGGGGTGGGCAGTACGCTGAACAGATGGTTGTAGTGTGTAAACGTCAAACGCAAGGGAAATGACTATGCGCGCCACAGGTGGCGGTAATACCAACTACGATACTTTTAAATTGACCGTTAAATGCTTGTTCGACGAGCAGAGTGTTATGTATGTTTGTCTGTGATATAACCTTATTCTGTTTATTACTACTACCTATAATTTGTAGCCGACACTGGCCGATCTCGGTTAAGCCTGCGGCTTAAGCGCCACTCCGGTAAAGGAGACCGCAGGCCACGTTGAGTTTGCCCGGATGAGACTGCCCCAGGGCGAGTCCAAGTGAAAATCTTCCTAAAAAGAAGAGATCGAGCCAGCTTGACTACTACCGAATTTGATCGATTAGAAACCTCTATTTCGAAACAGCATAATCTCTTAAAACATCGAAATAACTCCAAAAAGCTCCCGGTAAGAGAATACACAAACCCTAAACGACGTTCCACGTCAAGTTCTCCTCATCAGAAGTTTCACTTAAATTCCGCCAGAGGCGCAGCTGCAGCAAAAGAGGTACGCAACATAACAGTCAAATTCCGACCACGCGGAAGACAACAACATAATTACACGGACCCGAAAACAACGTAAGATACTTTTTTCCTCTCATTCTAATCTTTGATAGGACTGATCAACAACATTACATCAATTTCAAATCAAACATTTATTTCACAACGGAAAACGGTAAGTTGAGATTTTATTATTAACAAAAGCATGCTTTTACGAAATTTCCATTGTTTGTATATTTTCTACTCCTCTTTATTCTATTGCTCTATCTAGTTCTATCCTTGTGTGCGTAACTACCTATATGTGCTGTGCTCTTGTGTCTCTTTCTGATGAATCCCACGACGATGCAGCAAGCGGGGAACGGCTAAGCTTGGCACCCGGGTGTCTAACATTGATGGGTTGGGTGGGCATCCATGTATGACGTTACGTGCGCAAGTTTGTCTTGCCGACACCTAACCTTACAATTCTTGGACTTCTCCAAATGTTAGCAATTCATGCTCTTCGACCTTATGGTCGGCAAAAAAGGTTCTCCGTGGCGCCCTCGCCGGACGCCACACTCAACGAAAAAACAGAACGGACTCACCAGTTGATTTAGCTGCTGATGATTGCTGCGCTGCTGTTACTGGCGCGGCGACGATGCTACTTCAATCGATGCGCGTTCGACCGTTGGTGTTGAACGGCCAACGATTTCCACGTGGGTGGATGAACCACAAAGCCCCGCTCAGCGATGTAGATGCGGATCGCTTTCCACCGGACAAGGTGACGGTTGCCGGGATTATTCGCCCCGGGGATGCAGATGCTGACGTTGGAAGCGTAAACGTAGCCGTCGGCTGGTGAAAAGAACATTAAGGACAATGCACAGATTTCTTTTAACGAGCACATTACCTGGTCTAGCTTATTTTTCGCACTCACAAAGTCTAGCCTAAGACGCACACTACGTTTGGATTTATAACTATAACTAAACAAACGACGAGAAGAAATAAGAATTGAAGTATAAAAGTACAACCACGTTGCTTTAACTCACTTTACAAAACGAAACAATCACGCGAACAAAACGAAACACTTCCACTGCAATCTGCGGTTCGGACGAAAGTGAAGCGAAACCGTGACCTCAGATTAGGGAAGGTGACCTCGGCCGAACTTAACGGAAGTTCGATTTTCCTGCGAACTTCTTCGAACGAGATCGGTAATGCGAGAGATTATTCCGATCGCTGGTCCTTCGTTCAAAGTCGGGTGTAGCCACACTCTCTCTTTTCCCAACTTTCCCGAAGATTTCACTGGACTCGGCCTTGGGAGAAATTGTACAAGGTCGAGTGGCTTTACTCACGAGGCATTCTATTTTTATAGTAAATCGACCAGTGTCGTTTTGCTACTGGCATAGTTTTTGGCGTATGGATTAGATCTATTAGTTTCTTATTTTAATTTTTAATTTTACTATTTACAACATGTACGTACACTTGGTGTACCTGCTACAAATTTTCTAACTGAACACTCCACGGAACCTATTTTTGTTAATTGAACATGACAGATGAAAGTCGAAGACATGGTAACAACTATTGAAAACACTCATTCCAAGGCAAGCGCCGAATAAACTTATGTACACACAAAAAGAAAAAAAAATTTGCTATAGAAATAATGCATTTTCAAAATGAAAGTTTCCCAAATCTCGTAGTTTTAACTGGGAAAATTTTCAAAATGAAAGTTATATCTTTGGTTTGAAAGTTTTTCTTTCACTTCTGACTTGTTATTTTAAAAGTGCATTATGTTTATATAAAAGTTGTTCAGCTGTCAAAAATACCTCTTCATAGTAAAGTTTTTGGCAGCACTGAACCGATCTCTGAACCCCACTTCATTTGCCGCCAAAATTGAATATGAGTGGTAAAAAAAAAAGCAGTTTAGGGTGGAATCGGTGTTCGAAAGCTGCCTCCAGTGACGATAAGTGGCAATCGATGGTGAAACAGGAAATGATAGGTGAGTTGGAAATTCATTTTTCTTAGGATCGAACGAGGGATCGATTAAATTTGGTTTTTACATCGTAGGTACGTGATCGGGTCGTTCGGGTGGTGGTCAATTCCCGTGGTGGGTGGCGTTTATTTACCGGTGCTGATGACAAGGATTTTCTGTCTTGACCATTCTGCTGGATATTTCTATGGTGAGTGTCCCACTTTTGTGGTATGCAATGGTTGTATTTCGAAGGCTGTATTTTTGTTTTTGTAGATTCTATATCGTCAGCTCATGGAGAATAAAGTAGCTCCAGCAGGAAGACCTCGTAATGAATGCCGTTTCCATGGAGTGGTATTGGAATTGCCTTGTCAAGGGAACGTTTCCCAAAGCACTCGTCGTCATAACCGCTTTCCTTTTGTTATCGTCGTTTTGAATGATGGAAGCAAGAGGAAAGTTCCGAAATTGCTGTCGACCCGAGGTTGGACCGAATACCTTCCTTTGATTCCTCGGACTAGGACAAAATTTGCAATGGTCATTTTAACTATGTATTGTATGTTTTGTTTTTTTTTTTTTATAAAATATACTCGAAAATATATGAATAAACATTATTTTTAAAAAATCATTCAATTATGAGTTTGGGTACATT